CAGTCCTCCAAATTACATACGTGTACTTAGAGTACCTCAGTTATGAACCTCTTCGGCGTTTCTGACCTCGACACCTGGCCTTCAAAATTTCGGGCAAGTCCAGACCATGCAATCTTTGGTAATGCAACCTCACAAGATCCAGGCGGATGTCTTCAAAGCTGCAGCCGCCTTCTGGACAAGCTATTCTCGTGACAATCTCCTCGTGTTCTCTTTGCTTGTGCTTCCAGAGTCCAGAGGCTGTCTTGTATGATTTCGCGCAGTCCGGCTTATCACACCGATAGATTACCCGGCGATCCTGTCTGTCTCGGGTCCGTCAGCAATGTAAATTTCTCAGTGGGTAAGGAGACTCGAAACCTACGTGTCTTGTTTCGCCGATGGAAACTGCTCTTGTCTGGTCTTTATGTCCGGTTGAGCCGAAGCTCTTGTGCTAGAGGGACGGAAGCTCGAGGAACCGTAAATCCAACGAATGAACTTCTCGTACTCACGACCGGGCTCGATGACTTCCTATTGAGAGACGTTAGGTCGGTTTCAACGGAAAATGTTGGACCTCGAAATTCAGTCTTACGCGAGAGATCGCAACCAAATAATCTTGGGCATGTTCAAGAGTCCCCAGACTCCCCAATATTACGAAACTCTTCGCCACTGCCAGCAAAGCAAGGAAGACCACATTGCTTTCTCCCGAGTTTTTCATCGGATTAAACAAATCCCTGCGAAGTCTTCTCTCGGCCTTCGATCTCTCCCTAGCGTATGCTGAGCTTTTCCTCATAGCGTGGACAGTTTTCCCACAGCCTGACAATCGATAGAAAACGTCACCTGTATCTTGGGCGAAGGCTACCACAACCAAGAACATTGGAGTATCTCTCAACTTGAATATCGCTGTGTCGCTATCTCTGTTGAAGCATTTGAACTTGATGATGTTTCGCTTTACTGCAGGGTTGTCTGTGCCAATACAAGGGCAGTCCTTGGCGACTGGCGGGCGTATATGAGGGTCGTTCATGGGCAAGAAGGTCTGAGAAGGGATTTGGTCAAGTGACAGACCCGACCAATAACATTATCTACTCTTCGGGTCGACGCCCGAGGCGGATACGGTGTCGTTGTGTTGGCCTGGTTCTCCTAGGGTGCCACCGGGATCTCCAAGCAGAGAAAGAAAGTGACTGAAGTCATACTCTTCAGAGGTCTGATCTGAAATATTTATCACGTCAACCTCCAGGTTTCCGATATCGAATGGGTGTTGCTGGCCGTAGGCCGAAGTTAGTGTTAGTATCCCCTCCGATAGCATCTCAAGCCCATGTGAGGTGGATAGCGCCGCCTCTCGTATCTCCTTGGATGAGCTGTCCTGCCCACCACTATTTTGAAACGGCTGCAAATTCACTGGTTGTGAAGGAGTGCTATTTTCGAGCCTTGAACGTTTGACTCTGAGGCAATGTGAATCTTTGTCGTCGTCTTGGCCGCTGCGCTTCCCGATGTCGTCTGTAGTCCGGAGATGCTCCCGGGGCCACATTCTAAGAGCAAGTAGAGCGAAATCCTCCCGGTCGTCTTCATTCGAAAGGCAACCCCCCAACGCTGCAAGCCAGAAAGAATGTCTGTTTCGGCGATCCGGCCGCGTTGGAGTAGAAGATTTGAAATAACATAGGAAACTGAAGTGAATGCGACAACCTCGGCAAGGGTATCCGGAACAACAAAGTCGAGAACATCTCTGTATGCCAAAATACCCCATTTCTCCCATTTTCTTGGGGCTGGAGTAAGTCCGCAAAAGTTTCTGGAGTTTCGTCGAGGCATTTTCCTCGAAGGCTATGCTCTTAAGCCTTTCATGCTGGTCTTCAAGGCCTCTCCGTAGACCTCGAAGGCCTAACCACGCCCGTTTGATCGCATTTGTTCTATTTCCTTCTTCGACACACTGTGCTTCCAGTTCTTCAAAGTTAGGATGCGTGATGTCGCTGGGGAGCATGCCTTCCTTTAGTCCCAAGTCATAGTCGTCTCTCCAAATTGGGTCGTATTGGGTATCCTCCCCTTTATCCCCCAGTTTATCCAGATACGTGAGGCCTGCGAACATGCCATCGACCTCGGCTAGAGCACGCTGCCTTCTCGCGCTCCCATCGATTGCCATTGCGCTCAAAGCAATGGGTCCTTCGTCATCGTCAAGCCAATCCCTCAAACGGTCCTGGTGAAATGAAGAGCCTCGACTTTAGAGGCGTCCGTTGCCCCGGTGTCAGAGTAAGATGTTGTGGCCATTGCGGAAGCTCAGAGATAGAGCGTGAGTTGTTGTCTAAATCTGGGAATCGATCATGAAGGTACTTTTGTGCCGAATGGAGCCTTTAGTACAAAATGAGGAAATGGAGTGGACAAATCTGGAAATTCATTCTTACAACGCGTTTCCTCGAAGGCCCTCTGTATAGCTGGCCGAGGACGTAATGGGCCGTTTTTCCAATTTGTTCCTCAATGATTTGAGGAATTGCAAGCTCGTGGTCATTGGCTGCAGGCCAGCCACTTAACGCATCATCCAAAATCGTCTAGCGAATCATCAACGCCCTTTTGAAGCTACGTATATTTTATTTGGGACCTATCAGATTAGCGAACGAGAACTGACAATTTTACGGTCTGTTCTGAACGAGGCGCGATGCTGTTCCATTCTATCATTTACAGATTGATGCAGTCAAGTCTATTACGCCTTACCAGCGCTGCCACAAATATCGATCCACCTCTCTGTCTCCTTCTGCAAGGTGTTCATGCCGTCCTCCATCAATTGCGTCAATGGCTTATTGGCGTTCTCCCTCAGATGGACGTTCCAAACCTCCAGAAGCAGCTTATTGACATTCAGCTTGATGGCGCCGTTGTCGATGCATTTTCTCATGATCTCTGGGCTAAAGTCGTTGGTGCCATGCAAAGCCATGAGGACTCGGTTGTTTATTTGCTTGTTGACATTTGCCAATCGCTGGTAATCGAGTTGAGGGCCCTTGGGGCCGTAGTCTCCGTGAATATTGCCGATGCTGGGTGCCAAGAGATCAATCTCGGCATCGATGAAATCTTCAATCTCTTCAGGGCTCGTGAAAAGAGCTATCCAAGTTAGCGGATGAGCATAATGCTGAACAGGCTCCAAACCTTACCTTCTAAGTCGCCGGTGTCTGCGATGCCGTCTTCTCCACCGTTGATGCGTCCACTTTCCGCCTCGACAGCAATGTTGTGGTCGTGGCAGACTCTTGTCAAAACCTTGGTTTTGGCAAGATTCTCTTCATGATCGTAGTGGCTCATGTCGACCATGATTGAGTCGAATGGCAGAGTTCCCGCGATGTCGCGGATTTGCTGTTCATCTTGGGCATGGTCGAGGTGCAGGGCAAGTGGGACCTTTGCTGATTTGATGGCTGCGGCGACGGCCCATGGGAGAGTAGGGAGCTGTTTCACAGTAAGAGGGAACAAGAGGATCAGCATAGGCGATTTCTTGGCCTCTGCTGCGCGAACAACGGCGGTGAGATGCTCAATATTGTAGCTGAAATACAAAGTATTAGTACCATACTCTCATAATACGTGTGATGGTAGCTGATGATACTTACATGACCACGGAGAGAACTCCATATTTGCCCTCAGTCGCGGCTTGGAGAATCTGTAGACTGCGATTTTGTGACTTGCTTTCCGCCCAGGAAGACATTTTGAAAGTTACGTGAGGTGGATGATTCACTAAAGCTGAACAATAGTGGAAAGAGCAGCAGAGCGAACGAGCTCTTTAGATCAAGCGTGACATGCAGACAACGATCACTACTTATCGTTAGACCTGGATGAGTTGTGTCATTGCGAACTCGGCGGAATGGCCGATGCCCCGCGTTCCATCGCCGAGAACCCCGCGACGAGAGTTTCGGGAGTGGGACTGGGGAGTACGTACCTGGAGACACCCTCAATTTCCGGAAATGCAGTGAGAACATCGCAAGTCTCACCTCCGCCATCTCAAGACCGAGGACGGAAACTGGACTTCTCATGATCAGAACACAAAGATCATGAAGGCTTCAGGTACTCGCGAGAAGAGATCTCACTCTTCTCAATTTTGCGATATTCAAGTTGTGGTCTGGTCACACTGAGCTAAGCTAGATGCTGCTTGACGTGAGTCGGTTGAATCCCGATCGCCAGCGAGCTGCCATGGTCTCACGGAACTTCCGTACCGTCGATATCAGATACATGCAGCAAGGCTTGGTCGACTGACGAGAGAAATCGTCGTCTCCCACGTTCTCCCGCCTCAGTTCAGATTGTTCTGCTCAGAGCAGATGACTGCGAGTGCTCACTATCCTCAATGTTGATGGTCGCGCCGTTCGGATACGCGGCACACCTCACTTCAGGGCGATTTTAGCGGGCGAAGCCGCCAAGTCCTAAGCTAGCATTCGATTCATCCAACCCCCAAACACACAACCTCTAAGTGTGTCGTCCAGCCTTGTGGGATGGTCGACCAGTTGTACAGACTGCATGAGTATGAGGCTCTTGTGAGACGTCTTAACATTCTCCATCTCCTTGTGTCGCAGTCTCAATTCACACACAGTCGCACCTCAGGGCTGAGGCCCCCATACCTGCCTGAGCAAAGCCGCCGTTGCCTGTGGCCTCTAATTATGTATTGTCCAGGTGATGGTGGTTGCTGACCACGAGGGGTTAGCGTAGGCTGATCCTTCTGCACGCTACCCGCACACACCGCGCAACCTCCAATCCGAGGTGAAGGTCCTCTGAGGCTCGGTCCGCAGCTTGTTCTCGGGACTAGGGGAAATTGAGGCTGGTGAGCGAACCAGCCTGCCACCGTCAGCAATAACGATGCAGCCTGGTCACGCAGACTCACAGGGGTTCGGTCGCCTTGGTGGCTGCATAAGCAAACAGGCGTCCGGTATGATGACTACGCTGTCGAGATCTGAAGACAAACAGAATGAGCTTGGTAAGGATCTCATTTCTCTTTAAGCGAAAGGGTGTCCCAAGTCGCTCTTCGGAAGGAACCTTCATGTCATTTTCTTGGTACACCAGGGTGATGAAGCACCATGTCAGAGTACAGGGACTGGACGCGCGAGACTGAGAACGCGGTCCTCGACGAAGTCGCCGCCGCTCAGAACGACAGCCCCGAGCGCACTGATCCGCCTCAGACGTTGCCGCCTGGCCAGCCATCTGAAGACACGCAAGTTGATAGAACCGAGTCGCCCTCACGACCAAGTACTTCATCACAATGGGAACCCAGACCAGGCTTTGCGCACATCGACGGCGATGTCAATGGACGTGGGTACAATGAGACTTTGGTCGACATAGTCTGCGTGCCGTGTCCCGGAGCCGACCCAGTCGAAACATGGGCCCGCGACCCACTGCCGGAGGGATACTTCGGACGGGCTACCGATGTGCCGCCGACTGCGTTGAAAGAGCTCGCGGGAGCTAGTATCTTGTCGCCAACGATCAATCGACATCTTCCCAAGGCGACTCATCTGTGGGTGAGGCAGGGGATTCGGAAGGAGGTTAGCGAGGCTCGAGTGCTACTCTACCGGCATCGCGAGTTGGTGGAGGGACTCACGCTGGAGGATCTGGCGAATGATTTGATTGAGCAAGTCTGGAACACAAGATATGGCAACGTGAGTCTTTAGAATAATTTCTTCGTGGGATCCATGGATTAACATAGCGTCAGCAACGGTCTCGTCCGTTATTCTTCATCGCGCATAGTGTTGGCGGCTTAGTTGTTAAGCTGGCTCTTTTAAAAGCAACCAAGAGCGAGCATTTCAAGCCATTCATGTACAACTGCCATGGAGTCACCTTTTTCGGTAAGTTTGACGTCTTATTTGAAGACATCTGGGCTACCTCTAGGTACTGATGCCAGCATAGCAACTCCGCACAAGGGCTCGAGTTACTTGTCCATGAACAACTTGGAGGACAGTATTCGCCACCTTCTTCGCCTTCAGCGACCGCTTCCACGCTCAATCTCCAATAATTTGAGATTGGGCCACAAGCCTCTTCTCAAGATGGACGAGGACTTCTCGACGATTGCAAGTGAGCTCAGGATATGGTCTTTCTATGAGACCATCGACTCCCAGCTTTCAGGCTCTGGGTCTACGAGTAGAGGCTTGGCGAAGGAGGTTCGATTCGGTGCCCCCATTGCTTCCATCAAGTCATCGTTACTCGGCGTTAGGCAGGAGCGAGTCTTCTCGCTGGACAGTGAACATGCGAATTGCGCATCTTTTGGTGAGGGTAACACCGAAACGATGAACACCTACCTGCATGAACTCTCTGCTGCGGTCCAAAAAGCTACGGAACTGAGCTCCCAGTACATCCACACTCCGCTAAACCTCAAGAGACATGTTAAGGTTGAAATCATTGGCTTCTATGAGGACCCAGATGCAGATATGGAGTCCGCCATTCGTCTTTATTTCACGAAGCTTCATCTCCAAGAGTTTCTGGACAAAGGTCCTGAACGATGCTTGGAAGAACGACTGAGAAGAAGCACGCTCCGGCCGCGGTCTGATCCCAATCCTCCTCATCCAAGCCAGGCAGACTCACAACACAGTTCTCATGGCCTGGGAATAATGGCTGGTTTCCAAGAGCTAGGACAAAAAATATGGCGAGCTGGCTCGGATACTGGAAGTCGGCCTAAGAGCTCTGACTCCGAAAGTCAGGGGTCGCCAGGCATCGTCGTCACTCGTCCATCCATGGCCGGAGGCTCCAATTCGATGCCTGTGGATACCTTACGTCGAATGCAAAGCCTCAAGGTCCCGGCCTTGTCTCCGCCGGGGTTCAATCGGCCATCAAGTCGAGGTAGCAACGCCGACAGCACGAGGTCGGATCCAACAGAACTTGAGCTGTCGCCGAAGACGCCAGATCCTGAGCCTTTTGCATCAACAGGTGTAGAGAAGAGCCATTCAGAGCCACTTTCCAGACGACACGACCGGTACTCGAGGGCTTCTGCCTTGGAGGATCTGACGGCTGGGTTTTCAAGACCTGATCCGACTGGTAGAAAGTTTATGTGGATTCACACTCCATTCACCAATCCCTCTTGGGTCAAGGTAAGATCAGGATCGCAAACTCCTCACTCGGCCGAGCTGACCGCCGCAATATAGGATGTTTTTGGTGTTCTAGCCAACCCTAATGACCCAAGTTTCGTGAAACTTTTCAACCATGATAACTGGGTATCGAAGCATGTCATCGGAAGACACTCTCAATCGCAAGCATCGTTCGTGAAACCGGCCTGCAACATCATACCCCTCAACTCAGGTGAGACTTCAAACTGAATGAGTCCGGCTTGACGTGAGCTGATTATGTGGAAAGCTCCCTCACCTCATCCGTCTCCCAACCTTTCTGGCCGTGTCAGTCCAGCTGGGCCTTCGTCATCGTATTTGTACATCTACCTTCCGTTCCTTCATTTCGACACGTATATCGACATAGTCCGCCGACGTAACTTCATCAAGCAACGCATGCAGCATGGCAGGTCTCGTCCGGTTCCGCGAGATATTGCACAGCTGGACTCCGCGGAGCTTCGAATGATCTGGGAATACATAGGATATGACCCGCCGCTCAACTACCGCCGGACCCTTGATCAATTTGCATACCCCTCCTTGAGAGACACATGGGCTCGCGACGATGATCAGATGCTCTACAAGCTAACCAAAGATCGCGCGTCCACTGGAGTTGACTTGGAACAATTAGGACTTCAGAGACGACAAACCACAGGGTCGACATGGAGCCCGATGAACAAGCTCACGCCTTCGAGCACAGGACTGTTAGAAGATGAGCTTGATACAGATGATGAAAACCAGGATCTCGACGAGGTCATCAAGGATGGCAAGGTTCTCATGGTTGATGAGCTTTGGCTGTGGGCAATTGATACGAGTAAGTCCTCCCGGCTCGGTCTGATTAGAGTGATCAGAGCTGATAGAAAGCCTAAGAAACCTTGACCACATTCTTCAACAGAAGGGAATCAAAGCCGAAAGAGGGCCCCCTGTTCCAGCAGGCAGATCTCAGGAACAGCGTATACAATGAGCTCAATGGCGATCTTACAGGTCGTTGTGAGAACGCACTGGACCTTGCAGCATTTATCGTACTCCATGCGATTACTGTTCTGCTCGATCGAGCTTCCCATCCTGACCTCGAGATTTTCAGAATCTTTGAAGAAGCAATCAGCATGCTCGTAGGTTACCTCTAGCATCCTTCCAAAATTTCTTACCCTGAGACTAATGATCGAATGATCGTAGACCGAGCGCATGACTTCTTCTCTGAAGCACTTCCGCATGCAGACATTCAAAGACGTAGGCTTCGAGTCCGACTCGGATAGCAATCGGCCGGAGTCCATCAAGAAGCGCCACAAGCGTGAGCTCGAAGAAGCTGAGCGGGAGAACCGTGAAAATACGTCGGCACTGATGGAACTCCGCGATCTAGAAGATGAACTCAAGTCCCTTGAAAGGCTTTTCGAGACCCAGGACGGCGTAGTCCGAAATATGAAGGCCATCTTTGAGGGAGAAGACCTTAAAAGTATCACGAGGAACGGACGGATGTACCTCGAAGAAGCTTTAGCCAAGCTTGATGAGTACAAGAGCCAGACGCTAGAGATGCTAAAAAGAGTCGACACGACGAGGAATGACGTGAGTGATTTACATCTCAAAAAGCACTGCTGAGTCTGAACAGTGGACTAAAGTATCACAGTACGAGAAACTCTTGGAGATGGTCCAGCGTAAGGCTCAAGTCGATGAAGTCCGTTGGTCACGCCTTCAGACCGAGCTAGCCTCTTCGCAGAATCTCTCGGTCATGATTTTCACCACATTCACCGTCATTTTCCTCCCCTTGTCCTTCTTTACGAGCTTATTCGGCATGAACACAGTCGAATGGGGTGCTCAGCTTCCGACTATTGGCTTTATCGGTGCTGTTTCGCTGCCCCTGTCCGTGTTTATCATTGCAGCCGCGCTTGTTGCCGCGTTCAATAGTCGTGTGCAAGGATTCGTTCGGACGGGATACAAGGGTGGTAAAAAGGTCGTTATGCTTGTGGCATCCAGCATCAAGGAGATTGTACCACGAAAGAAGAGGGATAAGAGACGCGTGAACAAGGTGGAACGTGAAGAGAGAAGAACGAGGAGGAAAGATGGTGGGTATGACTTTTGGAAGAATGTTAGGAGGGAGAGAGCAAGCGAGTATCGGATTCCGGATGTAAATCGCAACAAGACGAAAGCATAATGCTATACATTTATAATTATTTACAAGAATGTCTCGAGGGGCCGTGTTGCTGTTTCTGGAGTTATTAGTTAGTGACACCGCGACTTGGTGACACTAACATATTCCATCACTTCAAGGAGCATCCCAACGCCGGAGTTCCAACTTTGGGTACACAGAAACCCTGGGTCACTGTCCCGCCCGTGAATGTGGTATCGGCATTCTTCCTCGAAGGGCCATAAGTCGCCGTATTCGTCGCCTGAACGTACACGAGGCCCGGAAGGCATTGCAAGCTGAGATCGCCGCATTTATTCTCCGCAAGCACACACGATGGAAGACATGCGCACGCGATGTTCCCTTCCAAGTTATTCCCACAAGAAACAGGGACGTTTAGCCGCGGTGTGCCGCCCAAGGGGCATAAGGAGATTGCCTGCGGATTGGTGTCGCAGGCTTGGGGCGTTACTTTCTTTGCAATGATACCCTGCCCAGCTGGGAGTCCGTTGGGAGTCTCCGGATCGTAGTCAACAGTGTACTCAATCGCCGTCTTGAGGGTAGACAGCGGAACAGGAGTGGCCTTGGGCGGCGCTTTCGGGACAGCGCCGTTGCGGGCGGTGTACCCTGTCGAGCCTTCAACGCACATGGTGTTATCTTCGAAGGCTGCGCGGGCAACATCTCGCCAGAGAGCAGTCATGTTATTGACATTATCGAGGGTGTAGTACAAGCGACAGTCAGCCGCAGAGTAGCGGAACTGGAGCGGAGTCGAGACATCGTCCGCGCGAAGCTGGTCTCGCAGATTGAAGGCAGCGTAACTGACGTACATGCCCGACTCGCGAACGTCGGGTAGTCTGGCCGCAGCGGTGTCGTCCTTTTCCCGGGCAAGCGCGAAGTCGGCGTCAAGGAAGTCGCCGGAGTAGATACGGGCTCCACGAGTACCGCCCGCCGCTTGCATTGGGCCGGGCTGGGGCGCCCCGCCTACGACGATGGTGCGTGCTTTGCCTTGAGTGGTAGCGAGTTCAAGGAAAAGAGCGCAAGCGGATGAACAGGCACCATCGGTGAGCTATGAGACTTGTTAGCCAAGCGTTCCCGTAGTATCGCGAACTATACGGTTCATGCTGATAGGTGGCTTGACTTACAAGAACAATGTTTTCAGGCTCGAACGGCGGCGACTCGCCAACATCTTTATTGTCAATGTAGCGGTTCATCAGCCAACCATCAAAAGCGGCTTGGTGGAAGTACGGATTGGACAGATCGTAGCGTTCCTTGTATTAATGTCAGCTAAGAGCTTTCCATGATGCTTGTGCATTCTGTTGTTTCTGAGTCAACTTACCACCAAGCTGAAGTCATCGTTATTGTATCTTCGCGGGCCTTCATACTCCTGCCATGAGGTGAAGTTCTCGTTGGTCTCTGCGTTCAAGCGAGATGTGATGACCCACTCATTTGCCACCTGCTCGACCTTTGTTCTAAAATCTGTTGAGTTACTAGTTGGAAGTCCCTCCCAGTAGTTCGTCGTCGCAGTGCCCAGGACATTTGCCATGTCAAAGCTACGTCTCCGGCTTCCGGCGAAGGGGTCAATACCAGGAAACAGATCTCTTAGCAATAGAAGTGCAAGGCCAGTTGTGCCACCATAGTTGTTTGTGAGATCAACCACGAGCTTAGAAAGGCTTCTGTTCTGGGCACCCTCGAGGAATGTGTCGACAGCCAAGCTGAAGTTGCCAATGTCCCATCCATACTGGTCAAAGTGCGGAATACTGAGCACGGCGGTGGAAATGTCCTCATAGAAGTACCCGGTCACGACACCGCCGTTTCCAGTCGCGTCCAAGTTGTTCTGCACAACATCCGGGTTGGGCGGGAATGCTCTCAGACTCTCGTTGTAGAAGCTCCGGCGTTGTTGCTGCGGCCCTGGGTTGGGGATGCCGCTTGACGGAATGCCGCCTCCAAACGCTGGGGGCAGCGGAACTTCTCCATAGGATGCTGGCAGTAGTCCGAGGACAAAGTAGTTGTAGAAGTCACCGCCGGTTGTCAGAGGACCAGTGAAATCTGGGTTGTTGTAGATTGCAACCCAGTAGGTCTCTTCGACAGCGACTGCGTTCAAATTGGGGTCTTCGTAGGTGAAGTTCAGCGAGTCCCCTGGGTAGAAGGTGCCGCTGCCAGCAAAGATGTTCAACGCCCCGATGACGTCCTGTACAGGGTTGCCCATGATCTGGTTCCAGTCGGCGTGGGGTTCGAGCATGCCGACTGAGTTCAAAGCAGCGTAGCGGGTTAGGAAATCGACAACGGGTTCGTCGTTAATGTGAGAGATGGCGGAAATCTTGGTTCCATTGTCTCGATAATCGCGGACCTGAGCTTGGGTTTAAAGTTAGTAGTACTTACACATGATCCCGGATTAGAATCACTCACATTCAAAGTACACCTTGGGGGTTTCCTTGCCGTCGATTGATGCAGTGACGAGTGACCAGGGGCTGGAAAAGGAGAAGGCTGAAAGAATTCCAGCAGCAAGATCGACGTGGGCATCATGAACTGAATACACCAAAAGCTGCAGATCGGCCTCGAACTGGTACTGGTTCTTATAGACACCCGAAGTTACGTTCGCCTTCAGATCTTCCAGGCCTTGGTTGAGGTCAAATGCGGGTTGTTGGTAACCTTCGGGAGGATTCTTGAGGTATGCCAATGTGCTTTGAAACTGCATAGTTGTGTTGTAATAATCGATGAAGCGAAGTGCCACGGCATCGTTGAAAGGAACGCTGGTCAAGCATAGATATACGTCCGAGGCATAGAAGATTCGATATCCTGCATTGTCATCAACACCAGGGAGAAACTAATGTTGCAGAAACAAACATACCTTCGTTGACGGCCTCGATGATCTCGCCACATATCGATTGCGGTGGAACGGGTGCATCCTGACGTCGAGGCAAACTCTTCGGAGCCTCAGACGGGCGTGCAACCACGGCACTGAAGCAGTAGCTCAGCAGCAATACAGGTAGTTTGAACAGCATTTTGCCTCGATCTCTACCAAACGACGGTTGATATGACTTACAAGAAGCTCTTGAACACAAACTTTCCATAATGGCGACCGTCGGCTGAACTCCTCTTATTAATCGAATTCCTTTCATGAGGCAAAAAGCAAAGGTCTGTACCTACGGACGCCATTTCCCATCTAAGATTAGACATTCGGCCCCCATGACCCTGCTAGGCAATCGTAAATCCAGAGCCTGGGGACCAGACTGCTGGGCTGCATCGAGGCTGCATATAGTGTGGCCCGATGTAACCATTGCTTCTTCAAATGTGGAATTCCAGACGTAGAGCCCGTCATTTATGAGCCCTTCAAGGCTACGCAAGACTAGGCAACACCGTTTCCAACTTGAGGCATGTAGCAGCCGTGAAGTCACGGTTATTTCAATATAGCATATCAACAAAGACAAGTATTCTCCTCCATACGTCGACTTATGTGTAAGTCGCTTGGAAGAACTTCCAAGTACACTATCAACATTCTTGATCTGAAAATCAGCTCCCGATGTGACCATGTCGATAGCTCAAGGGAATAGCTCCAATGGATATGCCAACGGCTTGTGGCTGCGGCCCGTCGTTGTAGGATGAGTGGGACCTGCTTCTAGGGCTGGGCAGCTCATCACGCGATAAATCAATGAGACATGTGGCTTGTCTGGGTCCTGTAGGATTCACGGCTGAGATGTAAGTCAGCATATTGGTTTGATTAGTTTGATAAGCAAGGGAAGGTGATTTTGCGCGAGATTCCAGCAACTCGGTGAGGCGCAGCCCCTGCAGCTGCATGAGTAGCTTGATTTTCCCCTCTGCAACCCCGGTAGTATAAATACAAGCGATTTTTACGAACCGCCAGAAACGGTAAGATGGTATGCCTGCTGGCAGAGCCTCGCTAGGCAGCCGTCAAATCTCTGTACCCGTTTCTTGGTGACACAAGGCGCTTGTGGACCCGACAGTGGGTGTGATGTTGCTGATGGTTCTGCCTACCACGTGCATCTTCGAGCACGGCGATTCTCAAGAGGTGGAACTGATTGAGTTTCCTGAACGGGTGGCCTTTTTGCGACTCATGCTAATCCGATATTTCTTTCCCGTTGAGGAGCCCTATCCGTAGCGTCCGGTGGCACGGTGAGCGAAAGAAACTTATCCAGCGTTTCTTGAATGTCGGAAGCCCGCCGGCTCCGTTGAAGATTTGAACTTTGCTGCTCTGTCGGGGCCAAGATACAGACGTTGCGCCGTTTCGACCTTGAGCCTTCCATTACTAGTACCGAAACGGAGACCCTAAAACATGGACGCCGTTGAAGAAGAAGCGCACCATCCCGCAGTGAGGGAACTGTTCGAGAGCAGGTCAGAAATGCACCCCGCATTGAGCGAGTCGCACGAACCGGGCGCGGATATTTGGCAGCCACTGTGGGACTGGGTGTTCATGAACGACATCTTTCAATGCTGGCAACGGGATGACAACAGGTGGATTCTGCGCTGTGTTGGTAGACCAGGGTCGGGCAAGGTGCGTACAAGTTGTTTCTCGTTTTACGTTTTCCCTGGCATTTCCCTTTGCATCTCTTTCCTTTATTTTGCAGGTTGCAGTTTGCAGATTGCATAAAGGTCATGGGCCTCTAGATCGTCCCAAGGGTTGTTCGGATGCCAAGACGCTGGTTGGTGATGCATCACACTGATAGAATTCATGCGCTGATTACCTACATGCTGACTTACAACTTGTGCGATTTCAGACGACCTTGTCCGCGCTGGCGACCAAGAGGCTGAGAGAACAGTACCATGGGGAGAGGGAAGCCGTCGCCTCAGTCTTTGTGCGGACGGACGTGGCCTCGGGCGGTACCGCCTTTGTGGAAGACGTTCTGACGAGCATTTTCCACCAACTGTGCGTCAACCACACACAGGTCGACGAGGACGAAGCGTACGTCGCAAAGTATCGACTTTACCTCGACGCTAGGAAGCACGGTCATCGCGACATCTTCCGGATTAAGCTTATGCGAGAGGCGCTGCAGTCACGACTCAGCATGCTCGATCGC